TTTCTTTCTCTCTCTCTCTCTCTCTCTCTCTCTCTCTCTCTCTCTCTCTCTCTCTCCCTCTCTCCCTCCCTCCCTCTCTCCCTCTCCCTCCCTCCCTTCCTTCTTTGCTTGCTTGCTTCCTTCCTTCTTCCTCCTTTTTTGCAACTTAATTGTGCAGTTTGAGTTGTGAATTTTGTAGGTGACAGTCATACTGAAATGTTAAAGGCAGGATGTGTCTGGAACCTCAGTGAGTGAAGGGCCAGTGACTAAACTCCTCCTCCTGCATCCATGAGAGATGGGCTTTCAGACGGGCTGTCTATCTCTAAGGAGAACCTTTCCCCTTAAGATTATAAAGGTTTTGTTTTGACCAGGCACAAAGCAGCTTCTTGGAATATTGACTGTGTCTGTTAACCAACCTCCTGCTTTTAATGAAAGAAAGACAATAGCCACACATCATACCATCAAGGCTCTCAGATTTTATCAAAATAGGGAGACTTTGAAGGTTGAGAAAAAACTAGAAGTACAACATCACCAAGAAATTCCTGACTGGCCGGTGTCCGCTGGGATTTGGTTACCTTTTAAGTGTGGTCTGGGCACAAGTGATGGCCACAGTCATGCCTTTAGGAAGCCAGTTTTCGCCAGGTAACCACCTGGCATTCTTGGGTTTGATATACCACCCTTGAAAGGCAAATACCAAGTAACAGGAAGAGCCAATCATGAGTTAGGGGTGATGGTGCCTACCCAGCGACTCTAGGAGCTGAGGTGAGCTGAGCCTGGGAGTTCAGGAGTTTGTGACAAGCCTGGGCAACAAGTGAGGCTGTGTCTTAGGAATAACAGCTATGACAAATTATACACTAAAACAAGCTTGTAGTTATGGGAACTTTCAAAAAGTAGTGAGAATAGCAAAATAAACCTTAGCCATCATCTTTAAGTTAGCTACACTGTACTAACAGCAGAGGCTTCTTGCCGGACATCGTGATCATCACGAGAGAAGAGGGTCACAGCTCTGTACCTCCTCTCCACTGTTCTTCTTTTCTCACTCCACCTCCCTCAGCTTCTTTGAGACAGTCACTTGTGATGTAGCACAGGCTGTTCCCAAACCCCTGATCCTCCTGCCTCTGCCTCAGAGTGTGGAGAGTTGGGATGGCATATACGCTACCACACTGGTGGCGCCTTCCTTCCTCTGTTACGGTCGTCCCTGTCTGAAGCTTGTCCAGAACTCCCAGTGGCACAGAACTTGCTGGTATGTCTGGAATTTGCTGAAGCCTGCGGGGTTTAATAATCTCCTCCAAAAAATAAAGTGTCACATTGACAGCTCCCCTTCCCCATCCCATTCTCTGGGGGTTCGCCACCACTGTGGTGAGTGGGAAGGGTCATGAAGTTGCCAGATTTCTTCATGATTTGTAAAATAACACCACGGGAGAGGAAAGCATGTAGCAAGAGTTCAATTCTTGACAGGGGTTTGGTTTGTGGCTTGATTACTGGAACAACCAGTAATGCAGCTCCTTGGCCTTAGCATTTCATTTTCTTTTTTTACTAGCTGCTTAATGGGAAGTGTGTGTGTGTGTGTGTGTGTGTGTGTGTGTGTGGTGTGCACACACAAGGAAACCACATGTACAAAGAGACCACCTGTACATTTCTTCTTGCCACCTCTCTGCAGAGCCCTGGGAGCTATCGTCACGCTCCTGCTGTGGGGACAGCTTTTTGCTGTGGACTTGGGCAATGACGCCATGGATACGACTGGTGAGTCTCTGGGTGTTCCCAGGAACTACGCACCCCAGCTGTGGCCCAGTCCGGCCCTATCAAAGCTGCACTGTTAGGGAAGACCCAGTTCTTCTTCCTGTTCGTTCTCTTCTTCCCCAGATCTGTGGGGCCTCCCTTCCTCAGCTTCCACTCGGGGGTGGAGGCAGTCTGGTGTGCAGGGCTGACTTTTCCCAGGGAGCCACCTGAACATCCACGGCCTTTCCTGGCTTCTTTTTGCTTGGCAGATGACAGCTGCCCAAAGCCCCCGGAGATCCCAAATGGCTACGTGGAGCACTTGGTTCGCTATCGCTGCCGCCAACACTACAGGCTGAGGACTAAAGGCGATGGTAAGGCCTGGATGAGCATCTCTCCCTGCACACCCCTGGTCCTGTCTGGTGTTCCTAGGATGGAGAGGGCTGGGGTACCTGGCCAGAAACTTCATGAGTATTGCCTGGAGCCAGGAGAGTTAGATTCGAATAAAGTTTCTGTCTCCTGTTGGTGGTCCTGCTGCCGACTAAGTTGGCCCAGCTTCCTGTTTTGTTTTGTTGAGAGGCAGCAAGCCCATGGCCCCCCCCCTGTGGCTCGGGAGCGCCGTCTTCAGTTATGGTACTGGGCTACTATGTTCTGACAGCTTCTAAGGACTTCACTGTGTCATTAAAGCTCCTGTGGTTCTGACAGACTCTTTTTTCTGGAGAGATACTCCTAGTTTCATTTTTCCGACAAGGAAATAGGCTGAGGTAGTCTACGAGAGGCAGAGTCCAGGGCTGAATCCTGACTTCTTCCTTTCCTCGACTGCCATCTGTCAGGACTGACTCCTGGCCTGCCAGGCACAATGTGACCCGAGGCACAGTACTCCGGGCCTTCCTTCCCTCCCGTTCCTCCAACTCTTTAAGCCTTCTTGATAGACGTCTCCTCATGCTACCCCGGGGCCAGACTTGCTTTCTCTGAGCTCGTCTCCTCCTTTGTTTCAGGAGTGTATGCCTTAAACAGCGAGAAGCAGTGGGTGAACGCAGCTGCCGGAGAGAGACTCCCCGAATGTGTGGCAGGTGGGTGCTGGGGTCTCGGAACACGGGCAGGGATGGAGGCTAGAATGTGGCCGAGCCACGTTCCGCTTGTGTGGCCTGAATACGTGAGAGCCAAGACAGAGTTTAGAGAGATCCACAGCTGGCAAGGCAGGGACAAGATGCCTCTCAGAGAGCTTAGTAAGTGTCCTGCTCATTTAGGCCGAAGGGGGCTGGCCCTCCATAAGAACACCTGCTTACAGAGACCTGGTTAGAGGTAAAATGAATGCCCCAGGAAGGACCAGGCTAGGGTGGGCATAAGCTGAGCCCACAAGGGGTAAGGCAGGGTGTGGGGGCATCTGGGACTCCTGCAATCCATAATTCTCCCCTCTTCTGCCTGGATGAGGGCTTTGCTCAATTTCTACTATCAGTGGCAGGAACTGCCAACCTCTTTTGGGTTAACTTCACCATCCATAAAAAAGTCTATGTTCCTGCTAACGCTGCTGCAGGGCCATCTTTATCAGAGAATGAAACACACACACAGCTTCCAGCCCTTTCCCTGAGTTTCAGAGAATTGTGGAATTTTTGCGTGATGATGTTTATGTATGTATGTAAGTAGGTATATATATATTTATATAGTAGTTTACCAGCCACGGTTTAAAACAGATTCTTAGTCACTTAATGTGTAAGTACTAGAAACGAGGAGCAGGAGGCAAGGGCAGAGTGTTCGACACTGATGGTGGAGCAGCAGCAGTGGCCGACACTTCCAGGGCCTCCGCAGGCAGGGCCCCCGCAGGCAGGGCCCCGCTCCCCACTGCTGTTCACATTCCTCCCTCCCTGTGCAGAGTGTGGGAAGCCGAAGCATCCTGTGGACCAGGTGCAGCGCATCATAGGTGGTTCTCTGGATGCCAAGGGCAGCTTTCCTTGGCAGGCCAAGATGGTCTCCCGCCATGAACTCACCACGGGGGCCACCCTGATCAGTGACCAGTGGCTGCTGACCACGGCCAAAAACCTCTTCCTGAATCACAGTGAGAGTGCCACAGGCAGTGACATTGCCCCGACCTTAAAACTCTACGTGGGCAGACAGCAGGAGGTGGAGATTGAGAAGGTGGTTGTCCACCCCAACCGCTCTGTGGTAGACATTGGGCTAATCAAGCTCAAACAGAAGGTGCTTGTCAATGAGAGAGTGATGCCCATCTGCCTGCCATCCACGGACTACGTGGCCACAGGCCGCATGGGCTATGTGGCTGGCTGGGGGCGGAACGCCAACTTTAGATTTACTGATCGCCTCAAGTACGTCACGCTGCCGGTGGCTGACCAGGACAGCTGTGTGCGGCACTATGAGGGTAGCACAGAGCTCGAGAAGAAGGTCCCCAAGAGTCCTGTTGGGGTACAGCCCATCTTGAATGAACATACCTTCTGCGCTGGCATGACCAAGTTCCAGGAAGACACCTGCTATGGCGATGCTGGCAGTGCCTTTGCCGTTCACGACCTGGAGCAGGACACCTGGTATGCAGCCGGGATCCTGAGCTTCGATAAGAGCTGTTCCGTAGCTGAGTACGGCGTGTATGTCAAGGTGAACTCCATCCTGGACTGGATTCAGGAAACCATGGCCAGGGAATAGTGCAGGGCTGACGGGAAGGCTCCACTCAGTCAGACAGGCTGAGAGCATTGGTCACCATGGACGAGGGGGCGGTGCAGGGACAGGACATGATCTGAGGGGTGCTAGCCCTGCACTGCTCAGTCAATAAAAAAGAACTTGCTTATGACCCCATTTGTAGTCTTTGATTCTCATTTACAGTACTGGGTGGCCAAGAAGCATGGTGGACTGGAAAAATGTGACACACCCCCCCCCCCCACCATCCAGAGGTGCCAGAAAACCCCTAGGGTGCTGTAGACTGTCTGTCTTGGGGCATCGTGTTTATGAAGTCCAGGTCTAAGGGAGATCACTGTGACCCTTGCTTTTCAGTCAAGGAAAAAGACTCGGAGAAGTGAAGTGCTTTGGTTAAACTCACTCAGCCATTTAACGAAGGAGCTGAGCTTGATCCTGGGTCTGCTTGGATGCAAACCCTGAGCTCATTGAACGTATCTCGTCACTTCTCTGAAGAGGAAGGGGTAAGCCCGGGAGGGGTGTGAGCCCAGAGTGGGACAAGGGTTGTGACAGAAGCCTTCTGTTTGTGCTTCCATCTGCCAGTGCCCCAGACACCAAAACAGGCACATGCAGGCAGGCTATGGACTTAACGGGGTCCTCACCACAGCTCAGCCCACAGATTTGCTCAGAAACTTAAGCTCCCTGGTTGTTACTTGTCCCCACATCTTTTCCATTAGGGATGAACACTAGTAACTCTCCAGAGTCCCCTGGCTGGGATGCTCTGGGACTTGGCTGAGTTGGGGTCTCTTCCTTGGTGGAGAAACTCACCCTGCACTGGGGGCTGGAGACAAGCCACATGCCCTTCTACCTCAGAAATAAAGGAGTCGAGGAAGAGACATCAAGCTCTCCTCTCTGAACACTCCTTGTCCCAAGTCTTCAGAACAGGCCTTCTCTAGTCTACCTTCTCATCATGCCAAACACAGCCTCTCTTCAAGGCATATAAGGCCACCAGGGATGTGCTTACCTGCATCCTCAGTCACTGGTGCATCTCTCCAGGGGGCGCTATGGGGCCAAGGGACACAAGGACCTATCTTCTAGAACCTGGGAGAAACCAGCCAGAAACTCGAACAGCACAGTCCTGTACTTACACTCGGCCCGACAGCAGGTGGCTGGCCACTCCCTAGGAGGGAAATGGGAAACCTGGCCCTTCCTCCATTGCTCGGTCCCTCCACAGCAGGGCTCCTGCTTGCTCCCCAGCAATGTTTCTCCTCTCCTGCACAAGGACTTTCTCTTCTCTCCCCAGAGACCGCTCTCTGTCCAGAAGTCATTTAGAGTTATATGGCATCTAGCTCAGGACAGGGCATGTAGCACATGCTTAATAAATACTGGTGGAAGTGAAAACAACCAAGATAGGAGCTAAGACATGAATCCAGACTGCAGGGGCCCCTCTGCCCTCACCCCAGCCCTCAGGAGGAAAGATGGAAGTATTCTTCCTGTGTGGGTTCTGAGATTTTGCTGGCACCTGAGCACTCAGGCCAAAGCACAGAAGACCTATTGGATAGGTTGAGTTGGACAAAGAAATTTTATTCTTCCATAGGATGTGGAGGAAGATTTCGAGTTCACCCAGGAGCTCAGGAACATTAGAGACCTGACCTTACGATCCCCGTGCACTGATTTTCATCCCGTGGGCCTAAGATGGCTGCCACAGCCCCCATGAATCATAAGGAGGGGGTGGGAAAGAACTCTTTTCCCGTCCCTGAAGTGTTCTCGGCTGTAAGTGGAGGACATGAAAAACCCCGACAACCTTCTTCCTGTGCCACAGCCACTAGAATCGGGTCCCATTTCACATTTCCGGGACGGACAAGCTTAGAAAGACGCAGCTGACTATAGGGCTGGCCCCGAGGTGACCAGGCTGCCACAAGCCTGGATCTCTGCCGGTATCAAGTCTCTTGCTGGCCAGCAGGTCACAGGCTGCTTGGCCACAGACCTCCAGCTCTGACCTAGTGTCTCGTTCCAGAGTGTCAGGGATAACAGCCACCATGAGGTTTAAGAAAAACAGAAGTTTCCTGAGGTTGGGCCAGGGGGACCCTGGAAGGTCAACTAGTCTTCAAAAGCCACTGGAATCAGCAAAACCCACAGGCTTTCCCCCCTTAACAATTCTGATATACCTTTGGTCTTGAGTCCTTGAAATAAGCGGCAGTGGCACTGTCTTCTGGGGAGCTCTGTCCCTTACTTCCCAAGGAAGTAACTTGTTGTTTAGCTTAAACTATGCTGGATGGTGAAGGGCCACATTTTCCTCTTGCCAATTTAATAGCCTGCCAGCTGTAAATGAACCGCCTAGGGCAGTGGTTTCAGTCCATGCCAGGAAGGTTCCGAAAACAAAAGAACTCTCCTGTACTACAGAATGTTCATTATTTCAAGAGAAGCTGGGATAGGAAGGAGCAAAAGAGGCAAGTGAATGGAGGCGTGGGGAAGGGGAAGGGTGTGTGTGTGTGTGTGTGTATAGACATGTATGCACAAACTGTTCTTACAGTGTCTAGGAGGATGCATGACCTTAAGGGGGAAAGACAAGTCCAGATAAAAGGAAGTTACAAAGACCACCCGAACACTGTTGCCTGACTGCTCTGAGGCTCTCAGGGAATGGACACTCAGGCGTCCGGATTCTTGGAGTACTGGGGCTTCTGTGCAGGGGCCGTTGATTACAGCACATCAAATGGCTTTGCAGGGCCAGTGAATGTGTCTCTGCAGGACTCCAGACCACAGGCCCTCTGGGTTCAGGCCCTGTTTCCAGTCACGACTCTTTCATCTTCAACAGCTGTGAGTGTGCTAAATGTCTTGATAGAGGAGGTCATATTTGGGGATATTCTTGGGATCAATAGGACTCTGGACAATAAGTTTCCCCCTCATCGCTCCCCGGTAGATGACTTCAATCAAATCCATGAAGTCTTGTTTGGTTTTGAAGCTTCCCACAAACTTAGTGTGATCGGGAGACCTGCAGCACAGAGGGAAATAACCATGGTCAGAGCTTTCCAGTGTGTGGACCTGCTGGTCAGCAGCAAGCAGAGGCCTCGTTCTCCCTTCTTGTCTGGGAAGCTCTCCACCTGTGGTCTGAGCCCTGCCTTTCCCCAGGTACGGTACACAGGACTATATGCAGGGCTGTGAGCAAAGTCTGGGTGTGGGAAGATGCGGCCTTTGCATCCCTTTCCACATCTCTACCATGTAGAGTCAGTTCTCTGAATACTAGAGTAGGCAGAGTTTGCTTAGTGTCTCTGTAAAGGCCCACTAACTCATCCCAGTCTCTCAAGTTCTCCTCACCGACACTGCTGAGTTGTGGGGATTAATAACCTTCCAAATTATTTTAAACATCAGGTATATTGCTTGCAGAAAAATTTAAAAGAGAAATAAAGTCAGCTGTGAGGTCAGAAGTCACCTTTTGATGTATACGTCTCCAGTTCTGCGTGGGGATGCGTATTCTATTTATTTTGTTAAGATAAGAATCATGTCACAAACTATTTAGTAATGTGATTTTACAACTAATTATTTGCCCCAGAGATGTAAAATATGCATCTACAATAAACTTTTAAACTCCTAGAAATGTAATTACTGGGTTAAAAGATGAAGCACTTACAAGGTGTTTGACATTGTGTCCTGCATTCCACATAAGAAGGTCGTACTAAATTAATAGAGGAACCGACTCCTAGGAGGATAAGCAGCTCCAAACAGTGTGAAACTCATCTCCATCAGGTAAGGAGAAAGCAGACACACCTCCCCAGAGTGAGGGAGACCACAATCCTAGACACAGCCAACGGTACTCAGATAGGGGTGTGAACAGGATGGAGGGGAGGGCATTAGAATATATCACGTGACTTATTTTGACAGGCCTTTTTGAAGAATGACTTCAAAATTCTCTGAGTGGCAGAAGACACTTGCAAGAAAGAAGTGTGTCTTCCTGGCAGGAATGCTTCTTTTGTAAATGCCAACTACCACCCCCCAAAGCTTAGGAACCAGGGATTTTCTTGCAATGGATATTTTTTTTTTTTTTGGTAAATTTTATATTCTACGCTCAGCTACTATCTAATATAGATATTCTACATTTTCTATACCTAAGGATGGTTAGTCAGTACTTCAAAAGCTATACTATTTTTTTCATATTTAAGTTAGAAATTAAAATTTGCTAATCATACTTGAAAACTCACATTTTGCACTAAAGTTTCATAAAAAATAGAAAGCATCAAATAAGGAGACAGTACTCACTTAGCCAGACTTGGAGCCAACAGAAAAGTAAGTGAGCTCCTGAACCTGCCTTGATGGAACCAACGTTCCAGACTGTAGAGTCAACTTAACTTACCCATAGTCCACTTTCATGTGCTGCCCATTGAAGAAAAACACAGTAGATGGAATGTAGCTGATGTCAAAGTACTGCGTGTAGACTGGCGTGTGGTCCACGTCTACCAGGTAAATAGCAGCCATTTTACTTAAGTCGGCAGAAGTCTTCGAGAGCTGTGAACGACAAGATGGATGCCAGGTGCATGATGCTTCTTTTGTGAAACGTACTATAATACCGTATGTGAAACTTACTATAACATTTATTTATTTATTTATTCATTTATTTATTTATTTATTTATTTTTGAGAAAAATTTTGTTTGAGAAAATACCTGAACCAAGAATGAAGCCCATTTGAATTCCTCATAAGATACAACACTGGAACTTGCTATGTAGACCAGGTTGGCCTTGAACTCACAAAGGTCTACCTGTCTCTGCCTCCCAAGTGCTGGGATTAAAAGTGTACACTGCTATGCCCAGCTAGACATATTATTACTGTTCAGAGGGTGGGTCCCTGTTGATAGGGTCAGGAGAAGGCACTGTGTGGTTTTTTGAATAAGAATGACCCCCATGGGCTTATATATTTGAATACTTGGGTTCCCAGTTGGCAGAACTGTTTGAGAAGGATTAGGAGGTGTGGCCTTGTTGGAGATGAGTCATCATGGGCAGGCTTTGAGGTTTCAAAAGCCCATACTGTTCCCAGTTAGCTTTCTATGTCTTTTGCTTATGTTAAGATGTGAGCTCTCAGCTACTTCTCTAGCATGTCTGCCTGCCTGCTGCCATGCTCCCTGCCATGATGGTCATAGATTCCAACCCTATAAAACTATGAGCCCCAAATAACCTCTTTCTTGTAT